GTCTCTTTTGTGAATGCATTACTTTTGTTGATGCATTACTTTTGTTAATGCATTACTTTTGTTAATGCACTCTTTTGTTAATGCATTACTTTTGTTAATGCATTACTTTTGTTAATGCACTCTTTTGTTAATGCATTACTTTTGGTAATGCACTGAGGCACCATGGATCGATCAGGTGCCGTTATTTTGCCATAATGAATGGGCGAGATCTAAAATATGTTGCTTTGCAAGCTTTGAATGGGTATCACCTTTGAACTGTTGCCAGCATTTTAATATTTTTTTTTTCTTTTAATTTTGACTCAGGAACACAATCGCCAGCAGCTGGTCAAAGAGGATTTGGTGATGGTAATCCCGATCTGTTCAAATCAGGATAAACACATGGAGGAAAAGCAGTCTCAGCCGATAAAAAGGACGCTCTAACGGGAATAATTGTGTTAGCTGCATTATTTAGTGGAATCTGGTTTCAAGATATTCTTGTACTGGTGCAGCTTAACAAGACGAACTTCCTGTGAAATCCATGGGTCTCTACAAGGCGATAACGTGCTTGTAGCTCAGTTTTGCTTATCAGTGTACTGTAACCAGACAAACAGATATAAGGATATCTTTCAGCCTTTGTCAAGGCCGGAAGCGCGACAAACCCCTGTTCTTAAATGTTGGGGATCTTGGGTAAATGGTTGCCAATTATGAGGACGAATAAGCCTCTTTTGAAGAACTTCATTACTTCTTTTCACGACCAATATTACCTCCGCATCTAAATGAGTTTTGAATGAGCAATTGTGGATGGAGTGGTGTCTTAACAACAAGCTCAATTTCTGTGTTATTGATCAACCCTGAGGCTGATAAACTCCAGGTCTACTTGACTTACACAGGAAACTGTTCTCTTGTTGAGGTTTCAGCACAATCGTGAACCGAGAATCTTCGGGTTAAAAGGTGCCCACTGCAACAATAGGCAAAACTTTTGCAGTTTTCCCCTCCTTCAACACGCGTTTTCGTTCAAAACGTAGAACATTAAGGTTGTTTCTCTAAAGTGCTTGCTATCTCCTTGAAAATCTTTGCTGCAAATATGTGATTTTGACGCACTTTTTATCGCAGAGTGAATTGAAGCAAACAATGTTTCAACATTTTTAGAATGTCTCTGTTATCGTTTTGTCCATCTCCATTAAAAGTCCATCACATTGATACCGTGTTAGTGTAAATGGAATGGTTTATTCACAGATATGACCAAAGTTTTCTACAAGTAACTAAAATTGCATCCCACCCGGGAGTAAAGTTGAAATACACTGTAATGATTTGAGAAGTGCGGCAGATCGATTGATCTCCCTTAAAGCAAAAAAAAACTCCCTCTTAGAACGCACTTCTTAACAAAAAAGCAGAAAAATTTGTCCAATGCATGACAACTGATCGAAGTTTTTCCTAACAGCGCTTTGTTTAATTGTCGAGTCTACAAAATTCAAGATCTTAGTTGACCTCGATCTAAATTCCTTGAGTTAACAAGATTTGATTTTCCCTCTTTTAGAAATCAATTCCTTTTCAAGTGACTGACCGTTCAGACAACACGAATTCATTGGAAATCGAAATTGTTATAGTTCAAAGAACCTTAAATTATTAAAGATCGAGAAGCAATCTTTGGAGCTTACTTGGTAATTGCCAAATTTGTAGATATTTATAGGTATGGCTTGCATGCACTTAGCGAAAATATTTTCAGAATTATTGTTAATCAGGATTATCCATGGAAAATAACGGGAAAGGAGAGTTAGCGAATTAGGGATTATAAGAATATTGATTCGAACAAAGCCGTTTTGAACCATCTTAAGTGAAGGTATAAAAGATTAACTAGAGAGAAAGCATCTTAAGCCTGAGGGAGTTAATTTACGATGATTCAGTCCTTTTCTAGAAGGTACTGTTGAATGTGTGAAGACCAAATACTGACACATTATTTCGGCACGTTTGTCTTAAGGTGTACTTTTAACTCCCACCAAACAAGTTAGCAAGATTTGCCCAAGCTGGTTAATAACACCCAGCAAAGGTTGCCGATGATAAAACTGTGGATAGCACTTGACCTCGGCTTTATTGCCAGCTGGGAAAATTGAAATTTTATTCTACAAGGAGCTTCGACTGTAGATAAGCAGTCTGACGAGTTTCTTATCAGGAACGCAACACGATAACAGAAACAGTTACTGAAAGGGTGGTATTTCTTTTACGTTGTTGGAGGTTTCCAGAGGAAGACAGATGAATATCTGCTAATTAAGATGAATTTTCTTCTAATGAATCTTAAAGTAGCGCCCATGACTGTCTGTGAACGTTTCAGCGATGAAATGTATTAGACTGCAATGTAGATGTTTTTCATCAGCCATGTGTTGGTTGAACTTTGACTTACAAATTTTCCCTAAACTTAAAATCGTTGCATCTCAGTAGAGTTGGCCTCCGGATCGGGAGATAACTCTTGAATAGCTCTGTCTAATCTCTGTTGTGAAGAGTCAGTCAACTTCTATTTTACTCTCTCATTTCGATGACAAGTGATCCCTTGCAAAAAAGCATAATAATGTAATTATATACTGAAAGCTGACAATTTCAGGGACTTCGTACATCTTTATTCTATTAAAATCAATAATATTTGTGTGGTAAGTCGATGGCTGCACACGAAATCCGCAAAGATTTCGCTCTCAAATACAAAGTTATCTCTCGACTCTTCATTTTCCTCTTACAATTTGAAAAGCGTAATCCAATTGATTCTATAAGGAATATCAGGAGCAGCTTTCACAATTTGTAACTTATACACCCTTCTTTCTGCTTAGTGTAAAGTTCGCGATTTAGATCAATTGATAACTATACCACACGGCAACCTGTCTTGCTGTTAATTCCTCGCAGGAAATAACACCACATCATTATTTCATCCACTCCCAATTCTTCTGCAACAGTTGCTACTTAATGAAGACCATATCTCTTAAAGGTAATTCAGTTTTTTTTAGTTAAGTTCACATGCTGTTCAGTTTTAAAAGGATAATATATTTAACATAGCGCGAGAGAGGAACGTTAAAAAGCATTCTTGCGCGGAGCGCCTAAGCTTTATAAAGTAGTCGAGTTGACTTATTCTCATTCTTTGAATAGCATCATCACCCGCCCTCTGGGAAACAATTCAAATTATATTAAAGATATCATACACGAGACATGATTAAAAAATTATCCCTAACGTCTATTGAATATTGACATGCCCAAAACGATCGAGAAATTTGGGATTCTTACAGAACAAGAACTTTCCGCTTCGAGGAACGCTTACTTAATGCACACATCGTACGAACTGCTTTGCAGTTCTCGTTCTTTATCAGCGAAAACTTGGGTTCTTAGGCATATGTACAATGCACAGAATATCAGATCCCAAGAGGATATGATCACAGCAAGAAAATACCAACTTTAACACGCTTACACATAATCCCGAACAGAACCCTTGCTTGCTTCGATGGAGGTTGTCATGTAGCGATTTAATTTTCTGGGCGTCGTTCGATGACGTCAACACCGGCAGGTGGCGTGAAACACCCTCTAATAAAGGCCCAGATTGGCTGTTTACTTTATTTTTGAAATAAGACACTCGCTCTCGAGAGAGAGCTGTGAAATTGCCATGTTTAATGGGCAAGTTATCAGGGATTTCATCTAACCTCGTGTTAAGGAGACAGCTAAGAGAAAAATAGCTTCGCTGGGTCTTGATGACACGCTTTCAGCTTCTTGAGTTACCTCAAATCTTACCACAGGCCACGATCGGACACACGCTAGACAACACGTAGTTCTTTCTCTAAACTCGTTCCTTGTGCCTTAAAATGCCAATGTTGGGAAAATTAATTGCTCTTTACAAGTCCACCCTTTTAGATAAGTTTTGCATATCGAATTTTGATTCCCCTTCTATTTTTTTCCGTCAGGTACTTAACATATTTTAGCGCGAGCCTTTTGTAATAAAATAATTAAACCGAGAAAACAGATAAAGTATTTTTCCATGGCGTGTTTGCTGTCTCAGTAAGCACGTAAAACGCTTCTGATCTCTGTGGCGTAGATAATAGATTTAGGACACCTGGGTTTTTAAGGGACTCTTAATAGGCTTATTGTGTTTCAACTGTGATTTCAAGCGTGTTTCGCGGTGGCATTGAAAGATATACATGACTTTTGAAAGGGTGTAACTTTTAGCACTAATGTGCGATTCCTTTTCAATCGTTCGTTTAGGCTGAGCACAACTTAAGATTTATTTGTTGACTTTCGATTCGAGTTTATAGCTAACTTTTTGTTGCGAGTATTTTTGTGAGTTTAGATGCCGCACTCAAGGTTATTTTTTCGAGTTTCATATCGTTTCGTTTTTCTGCTATCATCACTTAACAGACAATTCAGAACCTTTCAAGAGACTAACCTCAGATGATCACAAACGTTCAGCAAATTATTGATGGATTGAGGGTATCATGTCGCCGATCAGATTTACTCTGTTAGCATATCAAGCTCGCCGTTTCAAAGATATCAGAATGGATTATAAGCGTATTCCTATTTCACTGTGCGGTTAAGATTTGTTGCAATTACATTCTGAAAAATCGATCGGCTTAGCTTTCCCGTACCGACTATTTCCTCTTGTTTAGTTTTTGAATTAGAATTCGATGCTCGGCACCTGTCTTCTCACTGGTCGAACAAAGCAATTTTATGAATGTTGATTACAAAAATAAAAGCGAGGAATGTTGTAAAATGTCTGCTAATTAATTATCACTAATTGATAACACCCTCTATTGTCAACCCAAGTCTACTGGGCGCCCGAGGGTGATGGCCAATCCATTATCAAACACGCTCTCGTAAACCTCGTAAACGAACTCATCGTATCGCCAACGATGGCTTCTCTGCGTCGACCAACGAATCGTCCAATGTGAATCTTCTTGGTGCAGCGTGGCAGCTGGCGAGAATCAATGCGTTTCGTGGTCCATAAAAAAAGGGAAAGTACTATGTAAACTCGAAGTATATGTTTTTTGTTATCAAGTGATACAGTACGGAAGTGAGTTCTGTCGTCTCCTGTGACAAGCAAACCAAAGCGGTTCAATTTCTTGGTTTTGTCACTCAAGCGCTTATCAAACGAAACATCTATTAATAAGTCAAACAGCCAATCAAGACGCTGCATCTAAATTGCGGTCATTAGTTGCTAATTTCAACATAACACAGTCGTTTCAGTTTGTACGCGCACTGGAGACGAGATATATAGCCGTGGACAGAGGCTAGCAGGGATAGATAGTGTCCACAATCTGTGGCGAGAAGATCGCTTACGCAAGTCGTCTGTCTGTAAGCAGCGAACACATCGTTAAAAATGCAACACTGCGAGTGGAATAGAAGCCTTAATGTTTTTCCTCCGTACAATTCATCGTCATTCTACATTGATGACATTCTGAGCACGGGATCACAGCGACCTCAAGCATCTATCTGCACTTCAACAATGTGCGAGGTACCAAAACCACCCTGTCTCACTCCAGCGTTTCATCTGGCTCCGCCGCGGACGTACACAAACTTGAGCAGTCCATTCACGCCTTACCATTCCCCGAGGAGTTTCGGTTTCCACGCGCCGACAATACCCAGTGTATACGAAGCGTACAACGATCACAGTAAGTACAGTGTTGATTGCCGTATTGTCCCGCGGTATCTTGAACGTAAACCTCTGCGGCCAGGTCGTATGCGCAGAGTCATCTATTTCGTTTTCCAAGATATCAGAATTGCCGATTGACAAGATTGCGTTCATAGTACTGTTGATAAAGTTGATTTCTCTGGCGCGCTCGCTCTTAGCATGGAAACACTGACAAGATTAACGCTTTAGCTGGCGTCCCGTGCGGGGGTTTTGATGACCACAGTTCTTTCTTTCGGCCGCGAAGTAAGTGATAAGAGCATTAGGTTATTAACTGATTCTTTTCGCTTTTCACTTGATTTAAAACCGTACTCTATCATTTCGCAGTTTACGCTAAAAAACGTTTCAATTTGGTTTGCTATCTATTCAGTTCTAAAAACTCGTGCACATATGACAGCCGAGTCGATTTGCATGAATTCCATATTATTTGTACGTCCTGCAGGCAACGCGTCTTTGCCCTAAACTGAGAATTTATCGCATCTAAAATTCCTTGACTTTTGGTTACACTAGTAGCTCAGAGTAGTGAAAATTTGGGAGTAAATCTTAACGGAAATTACTCGCAGCCTTCATTCGCACCCTACAGCGACCTCAAGTTAACCCGCAAAAATTTACTTATTTTCTTGCATTTCTAATCATTTCCGTCCGTTGTTCACTTTAAGGTGCCTGGAATCTGTTTCTACCGAAGCCACAGAAAAAGAAGGGTGGCCAGGTTCGATTCTCCAACGAACAAACCATGGAACTGGAGAAGATTTTCGAGAATCAAAAGTACCTATCGCCACCAGAGCGCAAACAGTTGTCCAAGGTCCTCGGGTTAACAGAGCGTCAAGTAAAAACATGGTTTCAAAACCGCAGGGCAAAATGGAGGCGATTCAAACAGGAATCACAGGGTGATAAATCGGAAAGATTAGAAGCTGAAGAAACAAAGGCCATGGAGAAGACTTCGTAAGTTCTTTGCGGTGCCATGGGATTCGTATACACATTATCACATTCAATTCAGGGTAGACAGTTGCCCGTCTTTAAAGATGTCTGACGCAAAAGTTCGATTTATTTCGGACAAATAGCTTGAACTAAATGTTTTGAAACTGAAACATAAAGAAGGTTGAAAACGCTGGTTTTAAAGTGTTCAAAGATCAAACAATTTATACCATAAGCAACTGAACGTTGAGGATTCAAGGTGACTCGCGCTGGCGTTGAGTGTGAGTTCTTGTTATGGCAGGGTAGAGGACAATCACTATGCAAAACTTGGTCCGCTTTTATTTGGTCAACGCACTACAATAGTAGGACTATTCTTTATTTCTATTGAAATATCTGATTTGAGTTAGAGAAGAAATTATCTGTAAAGCTGTAGTGGTAAAGCAAAGAGTTGATTCTGAAGTCCGTTTGGTTAATGTAATCAGTAACGAAAGTATTGTAAACTAGTTTTCTCAGTAAATCATAAGTGTTCGCGAATTACACGGTAAAGAAGATTGATCTGCCAAGTCTTTGCCAAGTAATCCAAGAGCGAGAAGTAATTGCCATACGCAAAACACATTTCGTACATAGAGAGAAATTTCTCGCAATTTCGGAAGTTTTTATTTTAAGTTTCTTTGGAATCCGGTAGCTTTTTCAATAGAAGAAAGAGAATGTAAAAAGAAGTAAACAGTAAATTGAATAGTGTGTAATAGATTTGATTTGCAATTAGTCACTTTTACTGAGAGTAAACTCACTGAAACGACAATGTCGTGTGTTTAATGAAGGTTTGTTCTTTTACTCAATAACTTGGCTGGAGATTAAATAACAGCCGCGAAAATTTCCCGCAAAATATTCATTATGTTTCTATTTTAACAGCTGAGGGAACGTTCTTGGTACGCGAAAGGGATTCTTTAGATACTTAGAAAGCAATTTTAGGAGTCTCATGACATGGTATAATTGCTAGCTTTGATATTTGACATTTCCTATGATAAGATTGACACAGTCTTTTAGCGAATTGCGCTCTCATTCCCATTATTAGTCCTTTAATTGCTCTATCGACAGGATGTGTGTTTCCAAACAAGTTCTTCTTCTCTGTGCGAGAAGATTAAAGCCATTCCTTTGGCTACTAATAACAAGTGAGTTGTGTAGAGTCCTTTCCCCTTCTTTCGACCCATTGGTTTTTTTTTTTTTTAAGATCTGCGGCGATGTCGCTGAACATAGCGATTTGACCGACCATTAACGCTTCCTAATTGGTACTGTGTCCGAGGTAGAAAATTATTTGTTTATATTATGGCGACAAGGAGCTCTCGCCTTTGCGATAAAGTGGGTTCAATCTATAAATGTTATCTGATGGCTTTACTCGCCTTGAGTGAAACGTCCCATGCTCTACGATCTGCACGCTTTTAAAGCGATGCTTTTTTAAAAAACGCCGAGTGAATTGTTTTCATGCGCTACGACTCCACGTATGAAATTAATTGAAAAAGCTTTCTTTTTCAATACAAAGGTGTGAAATCCGATGTGATAAAATAATTACCATGGACTGTACTGTTTGTAAAAGAGACAATGCCTGTTTTAGAGTTCGATTGCGAAAAGCTATTGAGTTCTTTTATTTTGGACGAGGTCGCTTTTTTCCTAATTGAGAGGGGTTTTAATTCTTTTGTAATCAGTCCTGAATTAGTTATCAATTCGCTGCTTTACCCACCCTGTTTTCACAACAATGGGCCTAAAAGACTATTAAACATATCACTTCTTTTGTAAACGATTCTGCCATGTCCTCTGTTTGTTCTCTTTGCACGTTTGCGGAACTAGGGACAAGTGTTCTCAAAAAGGTTTCATTCGGAAAAGGTTTGGCTTTGAAAAATGGACTTGAAGAATGATATTTTTACAGCGAAACAGCGAAGTTGGTTGCGTGTGTGGCCTTGCCATTCTGCGAGTTGTATAGATAACCCTTGTCACACTTTTCATTCACTTCTTGTAATCCTGATTGAAAATAACGCTAATCAAGATGTACGTTTAAACCATTAGCCCCTCTCAGAGTCTGTGTAACTTAACACTAGAGAGTGTTTTCTCGTTATAAAGGACACAAATGCAGATTGTCCACAGATTAACTTGTATCTAATTCGTGTTTGTAGATTGTTTTCAGCCGGGAAGTTTTAGCCTTTCATTGTGCATTAAAAGATTTGACGCGTTAGTATTCTCGCTTTTTTGATGGATTTTCCGGTGTTTTGACGCATTGGATTTTTTTGCCAATTAAACGCCATCTGTTTCCTAAACCGAGCCGAAATAAACTAGCATCAAAGAAAGCTAGAATACACATTAGTATGGCGTGTGTCTTCTCAAAAGTACTCAACTAGTTTTCTTGCCTCAGAATCTATTGTGTCTTCTTTCCTATTTTAGAAGACAAGTTCATACGCTGAGAACAATACATAAACTTTATTATTCAAAGCGCGTTTTCTTTCAACGCTAACTTCTGTTGGCGAGATTTTTACGATCAAAAATACACGCCAAGTTCACTGAGTTTATTTTTAGGAAAACAACGATTTAAGTAGACAAAAAATACATATCGCATTCACTTTTGTTCGCATACATACCTTGTCTTGTTTGACTAAGGAATTACTTCATGGGCGGAAAACACTATCAAGTATATTTAGTATTAATGGTGCTTCAAAGAAAGGGTAAAATTAAAAGCTAGTTAGGATAATTATCGTCTAAAACCTAATTAGGAAGCTTTTTTTAGTCTAACTGAAGCAGGAAAAGTGTATGTTTCGCCCCTAAGTTTCATGATACTCAACTTTAAATGGCTTTTCAAGTTCCGTAAAACTAATTTATAAAATCAATCAGAAAAAAATTTCCTAAATGGTTTGACCAAATGCGGCAGAGCCACTTTAGCCATTAAGTCATATTCAAAGCTAATTCAAAGGAATTTAGGCCAGCGTATTCGTAAAATGATCAATTTTTGTGATAAACACGAACTTATCTTCGCCATAAAGGAATAGAACGAAATTTTAGATAAAATTTATTTAATGTATGGTATGATTTGAATCTTGCTCCGGCCTTAACAAACCGTTCCTTCGATATTTTGTTGTGAAGCACCTAACGCAAAGTTATTACAGTTTTGTTGGAAAAATATCGAACTATTCTAAGCAGTTCCCCGCCTTGACTGTAATCGAAGGAAAAATAAGTTTTCCCACCTTTATACAAGCTATTAAAACTCCTTTTTCGCAAACTCAGAGAACGCTGATTCGAATAGATAAGCCCACCTCAAACACGCCAATATCACCTAAACGGCAAATTGCCGAATAGGCCACTAACATTAATCGCTTCCTTTTTCCCCACCAAACGCACATTGAAAGCTCCCGATAACAGTGTATTATGCACGAAAATCGTTTACCCGAATATACGAGGAGGATTTTTAGCATTTAACCCTAATTCAATTTCTTGGATTGCATCATCTATGATCTGGCACGTTTTTACGTTCAGTAATTGTTTGAGAAATTTTACATTTTGGGTTGAGGAATTCAACTAAGTTAACTTTTTAAATGGATTGCACAGTAAGCCTTTATGTCCGCGCAACAGTTGCGTGATAGTTAAAAAATGAGGTTAAACTCATCAACGTGGTCAGTGGGAGTTGAACGGAACTTACTTTGTCGCTCAAGAGGGGAAGATTTGTCTTTTAAACGAAGCTAAGCTACTTTTTCTCAGTTTAACTATCAGCCATGTCAATAGAATACAGACATCAATTTGGAAGGTTCATTAGATAGCGTAGGAAAAGAACTGTCTTCAAAACCATTCACAACATTTTGGACGCAATACAACAAACAAATGTGTTCGGCATTCAATCTGCTGCTCTTTATTTTGAGTACTATAAAAGTCTTGTATCGACTTACAAAGTTATTCTTCTTGGAAAATACGTGTATGATGTTGTTCAATAGCTATCAATCCCTTGTCGTTCTGAGGCGTTTAGTTACAGTAAATTAAAGCAGCTCCTCCCGCAAATTGACGGCGAAGAACACTGAATGAAGCTATTAGAAAGAAGGTCTTCTTAAGACCACATTGACCATATCCTTTTAAAACTAAGGCGCTTTGAAATGCGGTGAAGACAATTTGCAACAAATTATTATAGTGTATGGCTATAGATGGTTGGCCATAACAAAAAGAAGTCAATATTCACACTCAGTAGACATCTCTGCTGTCAGCCGGCACCGAGACAAACTGAAACAGTAAACGAAAAGTTAATGTAGGTACATATTCCAATTAGTGCTGACTATTATCTAAATTATATTCATGTTCAAGTAGTTAAATTTGTGTCATACTCGATCCATGGTTTTATTTCCCACCACAGTTTCAGATATCATAGCATGAACTTGGAATGGGAGATAAAAGCAAGGGATAACAACCTTTGACAAAGTTCTTCTGATCAGAGTGTTTTTAAAATAAAGTAATTCAGTCTAATTCAGTGGTTTTCTTGGTTTCTGATAAAACCGCAAAGCTTTTATCAATTATGATTCCTAAATGATGAAAAAGACAGCATATAAAAGTTCCAAACGTATGTTTCTTTGAATCGATAATTTACAGTATTATGTCCATTTTACCGACTCTAGTTATGGCATAAAAAAACCTAGTGCTATATATGTGGAATTTCGAATCAAAATCCATTCGAATCATCTGTGTTCAGCCATTGTTGCTTTTTGGTAGCTGTGATTCAAACAAGCTGTCATGAAGTGTAAAATATAACATACTGCCATTCCTATATTCCTACTTATTAAAAGATTTGTATCATATCTGTAAATGAATTCAGCCAAGGTGAACCTTCTTCTTATTCAAAATAAGCAGCAAAACACCGCTAACATCACAAACTCTCCTTAAATGATGTTATACTTCCAGTATAATGGAACTTCGTAAATTAAGGTTTGGAAAAATGCTACCTGCTTTCAGCACTGGAAAACGGCAAGGAATTCTAGACATCCTCATGTCAATGTAGCACAAAATTAAGCCAATTGATTGAAAGCAAGATACATGATGGCTCACCCGATGATGTACACAATAACGTGGTTGCAATGAATTAAGATATGATTAATAAAAAAGGGGAATGAAGGAACCTTAGTGCAAAATTCAGTTTAGAATTTTGGACCATAGCCTCTAGTTTCTCATACTTTACCATTCGATTTTGCAGAACAGACAGATATCTTAACTCTAATTGCGAACAATTTATGTGTGTAAAACCAGTGAATCACTCTCTGTGACCAGAAAATCTTGTTACAAGTAACACACAATTCAGTATTCGATCGCATTTCCCATTGGAGCCAAAACGCATCATAATTGTCTACTTTGTATGTGTCTCAGTCAAATAATATTCCCAGAGATCCCTAAGTGGTCTTAATGTTCATTTCTCTGTAAAAATTCTAGTGATCAAGCCACATATAGTGATTTTGAAAACTTGCTCGTAAAATATTGCGTGCGAAAGGCAGTCGTAAAGTCCTTGACCTAAATACGTACTGTGACTTCGCAATTAAGAACGTTTATATATGCTTGATTTCATTTGCCACATAGTAACTGATAAATAACTATTTCTTCTTTAATTAATGGCCAAACTTTTTTCTCACTGAAATGTTGGAAAATATGTCTGCTTGAGCTCTGTCATGTTCATACCTGTAGACACACCCAGTAGAGGAAGCAAAAATTTCATTCGTCATTCCAAACCCTTCCCCGTGCAACTTTCCTGAAAACCGAAGCATTTGCGACAATCCACAGGCTGACACTGATTCG